TTTAGCCATCCGGGTTACAACAATATCAGCTTCATATCTTTCATCATCAGTGTTCACCGGAACCGCGGAAGGATTTCCGGTGTACTCACGCCTTTCCATGACATGTTGTTTTGCGAGTGACAATGCAGAAAAAAACGTTGAGCCTATAACATACAAGTCTTAGCAACGTAAAACAAAATATCGTAGCCTAAAACGAAAACGTTATAGTATATGTCCATATATTTCTTGGAATATTAACAATATTCGCCTTAAACGTAAGCAAACTTGAAATATATTGAAACATACATGACCAAGGCAATGTCCCTGACCCAAGGGCCATCATTTCAGCAGTGTCAAAGATCCGATCAACATGGTTGGACCATAGAAATTGTTCATGGATCATGATGATCCATAAAATACCCTCTGGTAATTTAACAGTTTGCTATTGAAAATGGCCATAGAAATAATGGATTTACCCAAAGGAAAAGGTGAAATAAAGTTTATATGTAAACGTTTACCAGAGGGTACTCCCAAAGAAAAATACACAGTATAGCACCCCATTAGTCATGAACCAACAATTCAATGTCCACGTGTTGGTTGAATGACTAATCAACCGTCATGTCTGGAATATACATATATGCAAAATATACACATGTATTATCGATATTAAATATATATGTAGTATTCTGTAATGTATATCATATCCACATTTGTTTTGTTTACACTATGGTATTCAAACGTGGCTGGAAAACCTGGAACAAAGGCAACTTTCTAGCTGGGAACATCATCAAATTATCCAGATGTTCCCATTGAAAACCCCCGTCTATATTCTATATCCATTTATATCGGATTTCCATGGATTTCCCATATTTTCCAATGTGAAGTTTTCCCATAGTTTCCCATGTTTTTCCTATGTTGTTTCCCATGTTGTTCCCATATTTTCCAATGTGTGTTCTTATAAGTGTTTCCCAAATTATTTAGATGTTCCAATGGTTTTCCTGTATTTTCCTGTGTTTCCTATATTTTCCCATGCTTTCCCCATATCTTTCCGAAACCATATGTTTCTGTGTTTCCCATTCATTGTTCATAGAGGATAGCCACGCTGACCTTTCACTCCCATCGCTCATCGCCCCGTTTTCCCAAAGTGGACCTCAGCGCCGTCCAGGAATTCGCGACCAGCTTTCGCCTGGAGGAACGAAACAGTCAATGGCTATATTATATAATATACTAATAACCATTAATTATTAATGTGGGTAAAACGATGTCATAAACCATCCCCAGAATCACCATAAATAGGTGGTATATACCATCAAACATGGGGTGGTTTACCATTAATTAAATATATATAATCATTATTCGCCAATATAGCTATTGTGTTTGGTTCATAATTGTATGATAATGGTTAAAATGCCCTATGGATCCAAACACCTCCTGAGAAGGTACTTAACCCCCCCACCAAAAAAAAAAAACAAGCACTTCCTAAAAAGGTACTTGGATCGATAGGGATTATTATGAATCATTATCCACCATCATCAACCATTGTCAACCTATTGGCCATTCATGAACCACTACTCGAACATAACTATGGAACATCACAATCATTAAAGCTGCGTAAATCAACTATTTCTATGGCTATCTTAAATAGCTATGTTAGTTAGTTTTCCAGAGGGTATATAATATAAAAATAGTAGACATATCTATAGTCAATGGCTCTATCTACAATTATAGTTACATTATGGCTATATCTTTGGCTATATTTATGGATTGCCATCATGGATTTTAAGAGATATACCATCAATTTTCCATAGAATCTTAGAAGCCTATATTTATGGTATCAGAATTGTAGGAATGGCATTGTCATTGAGATAACCTATGGTTTTTTGTCGATTGTAGGATCCACGCAATTCTCAATAGTCCTATTTTATGGTTCTGTATGAAGTTGGAGGATTCTATGGCGATTTTGTTTCAGTACAGTCTATATGGCTAGTTTTTTTCATGGATTTGATCAGGAACTCAAGGGGGTGTAATGGGAAATTCTATGGTGCATTCATCCCTAGTGCTCCAAGTACCCCCTGAGAAGGTGTTTAAACGACCCCAAAAAACAACTCCAAATACAGTCTCAGAAGGTGTTTGGAGCTATAGGGAATATATACATTAATATACCATTTATGGATTTGTTGAATGGATTTGTTTGTGGAAATACTGTGGACATTTCAAGGATAATTCATGATCACCCGAAGGGAACTTTAACATAATTTATGGAATGGAAATTTCAACCATGGTTAATGCTAATTTTATTGCTATTGTCACGAACAAATGCGGTATAACATGATACACCCATCTTTATATAACCGATGAAGCATAAAGGAACAGTGTCCATCCGTAATGGTAAGCTGATGGAAAGCATCGTTCTATCCAGTAAAAATCATGGCATCATCATCTTACTATAGAAAAATGCCGATCTAGCATTATCTAGCATTATCTAGCATTATCATGCATTATCTAGCTATCTATATCCATTTGTCGATCTATCCATCTATCATGAACTATCGATCTATGAAAAAAAATGGATGCAAATGCATTCACCCCATCTGATCCCTCATGAAAACAAAGGTGTATGCTATGCCAATGCTATGCCTATGATCCAAGCAGTGAAGGGAGCAACATCTCAACGGATCGATTCATGAGGAAATTCAACGGAAAACACCCACGTTTGATGAACGGCAACCCCTGGTAATCCAGCATTGAATTTGAATTTCATGCTTTGTAGATGAACTATCTCTTCAACTTGACCATGGTATCTATCACCACATGGTTTTCTCACTAAAGAGCAGGGCTTTCCGGGATGTTTTCCTTGAAGCAGGTTTGAATTCACGTTCAGCCATGCAGTTTAAACCGTCGTCGAACATTTTCCATGATTTTTCCTATGATATACCAGTGATCTTTTTGCGGAGTTTGTCTCCCGTGCAAGCACTTCCGCTGACGGTGAGAGATTCCCCATGAGTCAATGCCAGAAATGGGGAACACCAAGCCGCAATCCATGACCACCTGTGGAAACAAATGGAGCCAATGATGCTTCGAATGAAGCCATCATCATGTCACAGCGATATGCACTGTCATGTCGTCCCATTGTTCTTACCATGTTTTTCTTGATACCGTAGCTACTTGGGCATTGCATCCCAGTTAGTACGTGGGCATTGCATCCCAGTTAGTAAGTAGGTGGTAACCATATGAGATAACTCCCTTATGTATGTTTATACAAAAATGTATTGTAGTACTGAAAAAATAAGTTGCTTGAAAATCATCAATTTAGTAGTGCTAAAACAACAACAACAACAACAACAACAACAACAACAACAACAACACCAACACCAACAGCAGCAGCAACAACAACAACAAACAACAAACAACACACAACACACAACAAACAACAAACAACAAACAACAAACAACAAACAACCAACAACAACAACAACCACCAACAACCAACAACCAACAACCAACAACCAACAACCAACAACCAACAACCACAATAACAATAACAACAACAACAACAGCAGCAACAACAACAACAACAACAATAGTTTACTTGTTCCATCTTGTTGGGGATGACCCTATAGTATGTATATACATATATATATATGTGTGTGTGTATGTATGTGTGTGAGCATGTAGGTGCATTGTATTGTAGATAATTGTATACATACTGGATATATACAGTATATCATCAATGCCGATGCTGGCATCCCGGCATTGCTCGCCTCGGCGACGAACTGCTCCAGGATCATTTCCTGGCGACGGTTGCTGTAAGTTGGCTTCGAAAAATGATTGTCCACTTACAACTCGCCATCTTTCGAAAGCGTGGCTTCAACATGTTCAACTCCTTTCAATAAATAAATCAATAAATATATATATATATATACTATAATTATGTCAGTGTGTATATATATATGTAATTATAAATAAATCTCACGATCTAAGACAAAACATCTGTGAACCCACTGAGCAGTTCCAGCCTTGGTATGCCGTGGTCATATCCGCATGCTTGCTGGTGATGTTCCCATCGGTGGTTAAAACCGCACTGGAAAACTGGAAGAAACCATGTACCCTCTGGTAATTTAACAGTTTGCTATTGAAAATTGCCATTTATAGTGGATTTACCCATTCAAAATTGTGATTTTCCATAGTTATGTTAGTTTACCAGAGGGTAGAATATGGTAGAACTCGAACAACAGAACAGCAAGGTGTTTCGAAATTGATGTGCCTTCTGCCACATCCTGGCCTTCATAAGCATCACTGATGGTAATTGATGACAATCTCCAAAAACTGGGGGCCAGTCATTCCAACAAAAGTGAACCAGAGAAATGTGGACTCCCCAAAAAATAAACCTATAATTATACCATTTGGTAAGGGTTTATACAATAACTGGTTGGTGGTATACCTACCCTTCTGAAAAAATATTAGTCAGTTGGGAAGGATTATCCCATGCATAGTATTATGGAAAATAATCGTGGTAAGAATTTATACAATAATAATCAATAATATATATCCCATTTAAGGTGATTTTGGGGATGGAAACTGCATCAATTCACCCAGCTTCCGACCCACCTTTCCCGAAACCCGCCGCCTGAGCCTCTGGGTCGTGATCCAACTCTTCTAAGACACCACGGGCATACCTGGCACCACACTCCAAGTACCAATCTTTAAAAAATGACTAGGAAAAATCCCAAAATGATTGAAGGTATATTGCATTTTTTCCACTAATTGGAGAGTCTAGGTAGATGTTTGGAGTTTAATTGAGTTTAATGAATGAATGGCTATTGTTGTTCGCACTCAATAAATGATCAGACTATATAGGCACCAATCGCTCCTCCATACGAATTTAACCGTTATCTTTTTTAGGACCGCTACGCAAGAGTGGCGGGAAAAAAATTGAAAGTATTGTAAACAACACAAAATACATCAAAATACTACAAACAAGGAAGTACAAACGATTCTGATATCCAATGAAGGTGTTCTGTTACGTATCTTGTCAAGATGTTTCTGACAGGATGATTGGCCTTCAAGGGAGTGAAACAGTGTTCTCATATATCCAGCCCCAGCATTTGCAGTCTTGGGACATGAACCACAAAAAGTCTCTATAGTCTGCCGCGAACATCCATAGTTTGACCATGATTGATTCAGAACCCCATTGGAGGTTCGAATGACAGCAACCATGGAATGTCCCCACCTTCGGAAGGTGTCGAAGGGAACGGCCCGGCCCAAGTGGTCCAACTTGGTGCGGAAGAGTCGCTGGTACCTGGCTTACGTTCATCTCACTACAGATATCGCCACCACAAATCAGTTCTGACATATTCTGAGCCTTACCTCGGGGGCCCCCTTCCTGTATGGTCTATGTTTGTTGGAGGGAAGAGAAGTCTCGAGTGTCAACCCCGTATTCATAAACCCCTAAAATTGGTTGGATCCATGGTGGATCTATCCTAAGGCGCTTAATGGGTTACAAAGGCCTTAAACCTATATAGCCTACAAGGGCTTCGCATCTGCTTTCACGTGCCCAAAATCTTGACCCCCGGCGCACGTATCTCTGACATCCTGCAACTCCTTAGCGAAACAGGTTTGGGAAACCGGCTGGCCCTTGACATCGCGGAAATCCGCTTTTCCAGAATGGATCTTACTTTATATAAACTGATTTTTTTTTGAAGATTGGGGCTCCCGTCCGTACCCAGTCAGGGTCAGACTGTGGCCGGTCATTTCCCCATCTTTGAGGTCTGCAGTCTGCAGTGCAAATACCGTATTCATCGGGTTGGCTTAACAGCAAAATACCAGGAATCCATCGCTTTTACATGCTTTTACATGCTTTAACCATTCAATACTGCATTGTTTTTTTTGCGGTTTTCATGGTTTTCCCCTTCATCCAATTCAAAAATAATGATACACTCCCAGGCCCCATCTACCAAAAAGGATGAACCCAACCCTGCTTGGTTGTCAATAAAATGCCACTTTTATTTGGGCAATATAACTTCATAATCATATGTGGCATTTTATCTATGACATATCGTTATGATGGCACATATGCTATCCATCTATCACTTTGTCATTGCATATGTTCATAATCATTATTTTTGGCATATATGACATCTCTCTGGGTGTTCATATGTGCCATACGCTTGTTTAAATTCAACATATGTCTTTATCGATCTATTTACACTATGGCATGTGTTCCATTAAAATAGATCCTGGCACACCGACATTTGGCATTATTATCGGCCAGCCAGACTATATCGTACTATATATTTATTTATTTATATTTGTCTCACAAAATATATGTCGTTTATTACCCTCTGGTAGTTTAAGATTTCTACGGGAATCACCATTGCTTTTAATAATTTGCAGGGAAAATCCATGACACTTTTGTAGATCATCAAACGATCCAAAGACTCCTCCAGCGAGGTGCTACTGCCGCCTTGTCGTGATGGAGCATGGCAATGCGCACGTTCAACGTGATGAGTTCGCTTTCCTTCCGCGGACGTGGCACCAGTGCGATGTAGCAGGCGAGAGATCATGAATATGAGATATAGCCAGCAAATGATAAGAATCTCATTGCGATACAACTAACAAATAATTGGGATGGGGAACAAAGGGATTTGAATATTTTAGTCTGTTGGAATGTTTATAAATCAAAACAACATGTTATTCAAACAAACTAGAAGGATTTTAGGAAAACACATGTGAATTGAATGATTCAAGCAACAAGAAATGCGGTTCACTGGATCGATGTCAGAATACGCAGGAAACCTACATCACAGAAATAAGGTCCTCCAAACACGCATCTTGAGGAAATGTAGTGTTGAAATCTGCAGAATGTGTCCTCAACCAAATGTTTACATAATAGTCAGCAGGATTGCTTGGGAATGCATCTTCAAAAGCCAAGTAAAACATATATATGATTTTCCGGTATTCAAAATAAAGGTGGAATGCTCTGAGTTTGAGCAAGCACCGCATCATTGGCAGCGCTGATACATCATTGGCAGCCCTGGCAAATGTTCGTCATCGGAGTCATTCAGATCATTCATTCAAAGGGAAGGCTTAAACCATTACCCTCTGGTAAACTAACATAGAGATTGAACATGGTCCATTTGTAGATGAAAAACATTATGAATTTACCATTGACCATTGTTTCTAATGGTGATTTCCCAATGGCGGAAAACCAGGTACCAGGTACCAAAAATCCTCCTACAAGGTGGTCCCAGTTCAAATTTTGTCTATTTCAACCCGATTGATACTCAGGTTTTTTGTTGCCTCTGAACCCTAGTAATCAAGTTCTATATATTATATACACTTATATATATATACAATAAAAAAAAAAAAACTGTTTACAATATTGATTGGTACATGAAATATTCCTGCAATATCCTCGGCCCAGAAACCGACCCAAACATCCCGGAAAAAACGATGGTCCACGCCTGCAGAAGGCCATCGTCATTCAAGTCATGCGCCTGGCATGGATGCTCATGGGCCCTATGGAGGTTTCCAATCCAGAACCCCCCATGGTTCATCCAGTCATTAGACCATATATTTTAGTTTAGTGTTGAAACAACAATGACGAAGGAAACCCGAAATTTAGTCAGGAAATGACTTAGGAAATTAAAAATATATAGTATATCATATCCGAGTGACGACATTTCATATAATGTTATATTAAATATATATATATATATGTTATCTAGTTCCCCCATGACTCAGGAAAACCCTAGGCCGTTTCGCCGTTGAGCTCTCGGGCGAGATGCTTCAGGAACTGGACCACTGCTTCAGACCCAAAGCTAGGATTCAAATCTGGGTTGTTTCTATTCACAAAAAATAATCTTGATAAAGTATTATCCAAAGATATAATAAGTGATATTCCAGATGTTCCAAGTCACATAGATCCAGTATTGTTGGATTGAACTATATAGGCTCCCCCTTGAATTCAGTATAATTCAGTGATATGGCTAGGACCTGATCACCATCACCATCCCTCCGTCCCTCCACCATCCAAATTGGCACCTTGAAAAGCTCCAAAGTTAGCTCCTCAAGCCTAGACGGTCCACCGGGATGGCCAAATAGGTGTCACGTCACGTCCAACCGGAAAGCTACGGTTGGAAATCATATGTTTTCATATGTCTTCATGAAATCTCCAAGAAACATGGCTTAGATTTCTATCGGGAAGTCATGTTGGGGACAGAAACAAACACGACACGCTGCCAGCCATGGCACCTTTCGACATCGATTTCTTCCGCTTCTTTCGCATACTTGTCCTGACTTTTTTGGAGAGCCATGTCGCCGGCGGACTGAAGATCTGGCATGCTTTGGATCCAATGCAAAAACCATATATGTCAACAATGATTTTACCCTCTGGTAAACGTTTACATAACTATGGAAAATCACCAATTTGTTATGGGTAAATCAACTATGTCTATGGCCATGTTCAATAGCAAACTGTTAAATTACCAGAGGGTACCAAAAATGAATGGTACCTAAGTCGAAGCCAACAATCCGAGGCTAATTGGGTTTCTTAACTGTCACTGAAAAATTGTCACGTGGTACTTTTCAAGTTTGGTGACACCACAACCCCGTTATGTATTTACCATTATATTAACCATTATTAACTATTAACCATTATTAACCAATATAAACCATTATTACCCAGTATTAACCAAATATAAACCATTATTAACCAGTATTAACCAATATAAACCATTATTAACAATTATTAACCAAATATAAACCATTATTAACCAGTATTAACCAATATAAACCATTATTAACCAGTATTAACCAATATAAACCATTATTAACCAGTATTAACCAATATAAACCATTATTAACAATTATTAACCAAATATAAACCATTATTAACCAGTATTAACCATTATTAACCAGTATTAACCAATATAAACCATTATTAACAATTATTAACCAAATATAAACCATTATTAACCATTATTAACCAAATATAAACCATTATTAACCAGTATTAACCAAATATAAACCATTATTAACAATTATTAACCAAATATAAACCATTATTAACCAGTATTAACCAATATAAACCATTATTAACCAATATTAACCATTGTTAACCAATATTAACCTTTATTAACCAGTATTAACCGCATTCTCTGACCCCAGCTCCTTGGCTCTTCGCTTTTTCTTGATCGGTGCCTGGCGACGAGTCAGACGGTGACCTTGAAGCATCTAAGTTGAACGGCCATTTTGCCGTTCTCCCCCGAACGTGGCAAAACAAATGCCCTCCAAAAATGTCCAAAAATAGGTATAATATGCTATAAGTATAGTAGATTAACTATGTAAAAACTAGCCATCTAAATGGTTAGCATCTTAGTAAATACCAAAAACGATGTCCATCTATCGCAAAAAACTAAGTTACACTAAAGTCACTAAAGTATACTACAGTAACCATCCAAGATTGACCCAGACAATTTCAGGCAACTTTTGCCCACCTTGCCCATCCCCACGCGTACCTGTCTGGTATCGAGGCAAAAAATCCAATCAGCAGCATCCACGGTGTTGCAAACAGCACAGCTCGCAAATGCACCTTCTATGAGCCCGATGTTTTTCCAGACGGGACCCTTGGACGAGGGTCCATGCTGTTGATAGGAAAAAAAGCCGAGCTCGGGAACATCATTTTGTGAGCTTGGGGAAGTGCTAAAATCGAAGTCCAAATATCCCTGAGGTGTCGAAACAATACATTGATTTGAGATGATTTGAGGTTCCCACAATGTACCCTTCAGAAATACCAGACACATGCTTCACTGCCTTGATTGTCATGAGTGTCACCCTTGTGCCGTTCCTATATGTTTCTGGTTGACAGGGGATCTCATTGAGAAATTTCAGGTTGAACTATCCTGAATTGAAGGTCCTTATATCATTGGATTGGTTTACGGGAACATCTACAGGAAACCGCCATATTTAATGGGTAAGATCCATTTTTTTCCTGTAGATTTTCCCTTCGACCACTTTAATGATTATAGCAACATATCCACCCAACAATTGCCACATCACCTTGAGCGATATTGGCAGAACACAGGTTGGCGCCCATCGTCCTCGCATGAGACAAGTGGAAACCAACATAAAGAACTTGCAAAGTTATGTTTCCCCAGTAAATATCCATGAGTCATTGCACGCTTGGGCTGCTTGGGGCTTATATCACAGTAGGTTTCATCCCTGGTGATAAGTGTAACAAGTAGTCATATTATGTTATATTTATTTATATTAATCCATGTCTAACTGGTTTACAACCTATACTGAGTGGGATAAACCCACATTCCAAGCTACTTTGTAATTGCTTTGTACATCGCTTTTGTTTTTTGACCCAGTCTGGGAAAAGAGGGTTATCATCCCAAACGGGGTCCAAAATTACACCTCTCAAAACTAGCATGGAACAGAAAAAATCCATCGAATTCCAATGGGACAATCGTTTCAAACGCCTTGGGCCTGGCTGCTCCCATGTTAGTCTGCAGGGATCTGCAGGGGGCTTCCCCATCTGGGTCAAGATTCCAAGGGCCCGCCTGTGCGAGGGCTGCCAGCTGCCAGCTGCAGTTTCTTGAGCTCCAAATGGCGGGATCGTCTTCAAAATTGGCACAGTGTTCAGCGGCAATCATGGAAACGGATGCAACTAAGAACTGCTTTGAAACTATAAACTGCCAAACAAAACCATAGTGCTCTTTTCATCTCTTTTCATCTCCTTTCATCTCTGTTCATCTCGTTTCATCTCTTTTCATCTCTTTTCATCTCTTTTGATCTCGTTTCATCTCTTTTCATCCCTTTTCATCTCTTTTCATCTCTCAACATCTTTTGCTTCAGGCCGGGTGCTGACATAACTTTCTTGGGCGCCCAACCGTACGCCCGACCCAAAGTTAATCAACGTTAATATGGTGCAGGTAATTAGGGGGTTTCCGAAGTTTGTATATTTTTATTTATTTATTTATCTATTTATTTATTTATTTATTTATATTTAAATGTATATATATATATAGACATAGGTGTATATATATATGTGTAGATATGTAATACACATATATATATATACATATAAATTGTATGTATATATATATAAATATCATTATATATCACACACACATAATTCGTTTAGGGGCGTGGAAACTCATCCAACTTTTTGATCATTTCCAGTCTGGGACATCTATTCATTCTCCATCCCGGGTGAACGGCATCAGCGAGTTTTCCAGTGCTTTTCTCTCCACCTTCAATGGAACCAAGGGAAAGATTACAGAAACATTCCCTATTATTTGTAGAACAACAGTTAAAACAGGTACTATATTAATAAATAATCAACATATGGAATCAATGTAGTACAACAGTTGGAAACAATTGGTTTTCTCCAAATGTTCGCTCAAACCGATTCTGGCATAGCTGCGCTGGCATATTTTGGTGCCACAACCACTGCTCCAACCCAGTGCATACAAGGCAAAGCAGCGACACAGCAACCGCCTGGGATCTCTGTGTGGCAGTGGTCACTATGCCAATCTTAAATACCGTCTGGTAATCAAAGGTAATGGAAAGCCCCCGATGAATGGACATTCAAATGGGAAAACTCTCAAGAAATTTGCATTTTTCCATTGCCATGCTTGACAGAGGGTATCACGCAAGGAAATGTAAACCCCTTCACCCAAACATCTGGTTGAGCATTGGATCTGCTATGATCTCTTCATTTTAGGATATGGAGGCATGTTGTTTTGCAGGGAAGGCGCATGACTTTTTGGGTTTGTCTGGAAACTGGAAACACCTCAATTTATGGCAACTTGAATGGGGGGCTGTAATGGGCTGTAGAGTTTGGGATCTCCAAATTTTGATTGTTTTCCGACAGGAGAAGCTCAGGAACACGGCCATTCGCAATGAAACGAACCCGTCCCATCTTCCATGCTCTTTTAGGAGTGAGCCGTCAACGATATGATTAGATTCAAATATGGTTACTTACCGTCTGGTAAACTAACATAGCTGTTGAAAATCACAATTTTTAGTGGGTAAATCAACTATGTCTATATGGCCATGTTCAATAGCAAACTGTTAAATTACCAGAGGGTAATGACTAGACGAGACTTCCATCGGGATTCACAGATATTCCCCATCCCATCCACAAGGCACCGACGCTCTCAAGGCGCCTCTCATTCTCTCTCGTAGAGTGGCCCGAAGGCGCCACCTGCCGCTGAAGGTGATGAGAATTTCAATCAACCCAGACGTCTCTAATTACCCCAAAAAGCAGGACCTTGTTCCGGAACCATCAGCATTTCCACACCGTTGAAAGCGATTTGGATCGATTTGGTGCTATGGTTAGCAGCGCGCCTCCTGGCTTGCGCTTCTCGAACCAAGCCCAAATCCTAGGAGCGCCGACATATCCGACATGCCCAGCTCAGCTCGAGGAAAAAACCCGAGCCCCAGGCGCGAACAGGAAAGGAACACCAAGTGATCCCACAAAGCTACCTGGCCATCGCCACTGAGCCACCGACTGTACCATCAAACCAGGAATCTCTGGCCCAACTTTGTGTTTTATATTGTTTTTTATATTAAAGTATCTTAAAGTCATACATTTTACATATATGTACTACATTGGGCTACCATGGTTTTGTATAACATATCAGTGTTAATCAAACATCTTGCTCCAGCATTCGTCGATTTTTACATGCAAACATGGGGCCGGCCTGTGATCATGGCAGCAGGATCAATGGGGTATTCGATCTTGGGCGGCAATGCTACGAACGTCACCTGTGAGGTGTTGGATGAAGCCCTGTCTGAAATTGGGGTATATACCGTATACCCCGAAAACTGGTTTAAACATGTTTAAACTGCTCATGTTCAGCTATAGAACAATAATTACAAACATAATAATTAAGCAGTTGGATTATATTGGATTTAGGGATGCCCTGCTTCAGACAAACCCACTCACAAGGATCCCACTTTTTTGTGGGGGGTGGGAAGGATATGTGTCACCCACGATCTTGCACGGCGTCCTAGCGGTTTTCAACAAGAAAAGTCCATGATTCGGTCTGTGGCATCAGCATCAGCGAAAAACAAATCCCGCCATAGCGATTTGGCACAGGGATGCACAGGGGATTTCAGAGCTATGCATTTAGCAGATCGACTTGGGAAACTCTGCATCAGGATGACGCAAAATTGGCTTGGAATGGCGCAAGCAAGCTGTGGATGCATTTGGGTAAATTTGGGTAAATTTGCGGGTTCCACCTGCTCCACTACGGAAGAATATGGAAGAATATACAATGATGTACACCTCCTACATGGTCCTACAATGCTCCCATGGCCCATATCCCAAGGTGCCAACATTCTCATTTTGAAGCCTCCGGCTGCCTGTCTTGCCTCGGCACTTGTTGACATGCGCTGCATCATTTGGTTCGTCTCAAAAGGGATTACCCAAAAAACGTTTGCCGTTTTGGGAGTCCTCCCCGGTGCTGCAATCATCCCAGCTGTGGCGTATGGCTGACAATTCATATAAATTTCTATAGTAGCGCCCAGATGTTAAAAGTATAGATCGCTGTTTAAAGTCAGATTTTAGTTTTGTATCTTTGCTGCGGTTGCTGAGTGATCGCTCTATGTGTATATATATATATATATATGCGTGTGTGAATAAATGTCATATAACACTTAAAGCTCTAAATTGGGCCAAGCATTTCCCTTTGATGTCGCAGCTATTGGTTCCCAACACAACGGCAATCCGCATGGCGCTTGCCTTGGGGATCCTTGAGATAACGTCACACCATTCAAAGTTCCAACGCCGAGCGGTAAGGGATAGGTTAGACACAACTAGATTTATTTTGTTGGGTGTTTGAAGCAAACTCGTTGAGAAACCAATGGCCAGGGCCAGGGGCAGCCTAGTCTCGAATTTTATTTAGCGGTAGTGTCTTGGCAGCTCACCAACGTTTGAGAAGATCATTTCAGGAAAAATGACCATACAAATCACCGCAAACCCCCAAAACAAATCCAAAACCAAAATCCGAATCTAAAACATTGAAAAAACAGTGATCAACTACCCTATGGATCCAGCTGTACCTTCCCCATGTAAGTGCTTGAGGTATGATTTGGGAGGTATGATGTACCTTCTCAGGAGTTTGGATCCATAGGGCTACTTTTCTCTCTCTTTTGGTTGGCTGGTGATGGTCACCAACATTGTCCCCTTGAATCGTCCAAGGTACCGCCTTGGGCGGCGACAATCAGCACCTGTCATGGGAAGGGTTACTTGGGATTTGCTAAGCTGCTATGATGTTGGAAGTGGAAGGAACCACGATACCTATAGGGAATCTACATAGGGAATATATTATGCATATATTATATCGCTCTCTCTCTCTCTCTCTCTCTCTCCCTCCATCGCCTTCAATACATATTCTGCATTGTTTGGTGGTACTTCAAGCACATCCAAGAATACGCTCCGTTCAACACATAGCAAACTGGAGAATCCCCGAACTAAATGGAGGTTTATAGCTGGGAGAATCAGCTACAAATTAAGGATGTTCCAGTGACATGTTTGTTTACCGCAAGGTAGATGGTACCGACCATCCGGTAATCAAACATGGCAGTAAATAATTTATGAACATTCCCCATTTATATATATATATTGTTCGGATATGTTCGATCATGTTCCTATTCAGATGCCCATTTAGTTCGGGGAATTCCAACCTTGTCATGTTTGACTGCCGGATGGTACAGTTAGCATTATTAAAATCCAATAGAATCCATGTGTTCGGCCATGTTGTCCCCATATCCTCTTTATGCTATGACATGATATAACCATTCTAGCGTCTATTACGCTTGGGCGTCGCCCTCTGGTAATCAATCGTGGCAGTTGAAAATCCACCATTCATAGTTGATTTTCCCATGAACACCTCCATGTTATAGGGGATTTTATAACCAGCTAATACCAGCTACATTTGATTACCAGAGGCTATATCAGGCATAGTATATCTCCCCATTCTTGGGCGGTCACGGTTCCAGATTCTCAAAAAAAAAACAGGCCGCGCAAGGACGATGTAGAGGGCATATCGCAACCTTCGCCACGCCTGCGGACATGTGCCATGCTGATGGCACGTGGTGATGTGGCAACCTGTGGTAACGTGACATGGCTGGCTGTTCAATTCTAGCCAACCTCGAAAGAAAGATATTACACCATCTCCAATTGTGCAAGGATTCGGAATGGCTGATGTTCCTTGGTTTTCCAGCCCAATGTTTTTGCAGAAATGGGTGGTAGAAACCATGTAGAAACCATTCCGAAGCCAGGGGTCTCATTATTCCTATAATGAGCTGCTGAGGATAGGGGAGGATCGGTAGCACGAAAGCCTGAAACCTGCCAGAGACCTGCAACATGTTTTGGGGGATGGACATGACATCGCACTCTCTGCGCCTCTTGGTATATGTTTTTTGGCAACACCAGGCGTCTAGACTCATTCCCTGAGAACGGTGGACCTGATTGGGTTTGTCTGAACATGGGGTATGCCTAAAATCCTACCAGTATGGATGATCTTCATAATTATCTTCATATTCTCATTCAACACAACTAAACGTTGATTTAGATGTTGTTTCTCCTA